TATCAAGAACAATGATCCTCTCTGAGTCCCCACTGCTGTGGTTAAATGCACCCCTCAGGCAACATTTGTGGACATGAAGATTTCACAGTCAATGAACATGAATGAATGATTCCATTTCAGATGTTCTCGAAAGCTGCCTTTTCGTAACTTTTCCCAGAATTGATCTGAGGTATGAAAGAAGGATATAGCATGCACTGCACTTGAACAAAGAGTTCATCAGCTAATCAGGAGCGAGTATTATGTACCATGGTACTGCAGTAGTACTGGATTAAATCACTGAGGGGCTAGGGGTGTACTTTATATGATCTCCAAGCAGATCTTTTTGGGGCTGAAAGACGGCATCCATGGCTGATGGCTGTGCAGAATTCATGTCAGTGAATTATTTAGTGAATGTATTTAGTGAATGTGTGTGTGATAATTACTTGCAGTTCCTCCCACAGCCAGTAGGAGGAGCACCCCTCGGTACCTCGCCTGGAACGTCATCATCAGATACCAAGCATTCACCTGGAAGGAATGGCAGAATGATGTGATTTATTTGCACAAACACAGTGAAAGCAATATTTACAAAACATAAGAAAATTTACAAAACATATTTAATTTAATAGAAAACAGGGGAATGTCTAACTGGTCACTCATATCAATACAGATTTTTTCCACTTCGGTACCGTATCATGTAGGCCCCATTCCCACTAGTACTGTAAAATAATCCGGATCGAACCGAATAGATAGCGATCCGAATCGATCCGGACAAATTTACGACAGTTTCCGATCCGGTTCGATTCGCATTGATCCAGTTTTGCGCTAGCGCTTGTCTTTCCCTGTCGTCGTTTTACTGTAGCGCAATGCAATCCCTATTTCCAGTACACATAAAGAATCGTCAAAATATGCCTGCCATGTTTTCTTTTATTACAACATGTAATTACAAGACGTGGTGACAACATACTCAAGTTTTTTTTTCAACTTATATTAATGCCGCCACCAACACAGGGGACAACACAATACTGAGTGGAGTGAGGAAAGTCGTGTGAAGTGCCTTTTCCAAGGGCACAAGATCGGTGGAATGTAAGGACTCGAACCCGGGACCTCTTGGTTCCGAGTCGAGCACTCTGCCGCTACGCCACCCCACCCCACGATTGCCATGTTCGACCCCTAACCTTCAATGAGGGATACATAGCAGTTTTTTTGTAAAACTGCGGCTTATAGCTTGAGCCGGCTTGAGTGTGAACGCAAGCACCGGGGCCAAGCCAGCTGTAACTTCCCTGTGTGAACGCGACCCGGGTCAGAAACAATTCTATATAATACGATATGATACGATACGATAGGGTAAAATACCCTAGTGTGCTAGTGTGAAAAGGGTCGTAGGTAAAGTTCTCACGCACCTCTAATTGTTCCCTAAGGCATCTGTCTGTATCAGACAATAGACAAAATTACGATGGGTGGGTTTCAGGTTCGAGAGTCAAATTCCTGCTCATCAAAAGATCAGAGAGGTTTTGGCAGTGATTCGACAAACACCTCGACAGATGTCTACATTTTTCCCTATAACTCTGTCAGAGTATAGAGGTAAGTCTGTTAGTGGACTTAGACCGATACGAGTAACCGTAAAGAAATCTGTCCCGGAAGTCCCTTCTAGATCTGTCTCGTATCAACAGCACTCTAAAGTATTTTCCATCAAAACAAACTTTACGAGTCGACATAATTTATGCAGACATTAGTTGTTAGTCCAGTGGAGACTATATCATGGATACGTCCCTAACAACAAGAATAGTGTCTTCGAACGCAGATGTGGCTTTGTTGTAATAGCCAAATTCAAACAGGCGAATCGTGTACCAAACCAAATGTACGATACCAAAAGTAAAAGAAGATTACTGTGCACGTTTGGATTTCTTTGGAAACAACCATGTGCATTGATGGCATATATGCAGTCAAGTGTTGAATTAGTCTTCGGAATGACACACAGTCACATATTAAAACTATGGATAACTGACGATTTCCTAATCGGACCAAGGTGACTATAAAATCTGCGTGGCTCCACACACGATTTCTTAAAGTATATTACCCACACAAAGTTGGGCGTGCTTCCAGCAGGCCAGGCTAACTTGCGGGGAAAAATCAGTGGCCTATACTTCATCTATGTTTTGTACACGAACTTGGTAAACCATAGTCACAGTGACCAAAGAGAAGTTCCTAAAAGATCCGGAAGATTTGGAAAAGAATTTGGAAAATAAAGTTCAAATTCCTACCTGTCCGTGGCAGTCAACTTAGCCGCGCCGCACGGTCCTGCCTCGGTACAGAACCACTTCCGCCGAATGAAAGACTAGTCGCCCAGGCCGGCTCCTGTACAGGTAAAGCCCTGCATACCAACAAGCCCATCCCTTTTGGAATAGGAGTGGCAAAGAGGTAATAGATTCCCATTGGTTAAAGATCATGTCGCTCTTTGTGATCGCGTTAGTAGCCTGTGGGGATGGGAGAAGGCAGGTACTTGGCGCTCCCACCGTTTAAAATACCTTCGGAATTACACACAGGCGGGGTTGAAGCTATCACTCTCTTAAAATAGATCCCCAAGATATCTGTTAATCTCAGACAATAGGCAGTCATAGTCTCCACCAGACTTCTTTTGCGGGGTGAATAAATCGTAGAAATCGGCCTAAAAAGGGTATTAATTGGCAAGAGAAGCTCCATTTCTTGGCGGGGAAATGGAGCTTCTTTTGCCGGCTACCTTCTCTGGCCACTTAATACCCTTTTTAGGCCGATTTCTACGATTTTTTCACCCCGCAAAAGACGTCTGGTGGAGACTAAGGCAGTCAGTGCAACTTGATGATGTGTGGATTGCGTGTTCAAAAGATCAGTTCCCCGCTCATTGATATGAAGATGAAAGTGATCCATGTTTCCTCAGCCTGCAACGACCTGTTTGCATTCATACGTCTCTTTCGAGCAGACAAGTTGTATCAACTAGTGCGTTATCTGCATATTTTGTACCCTCTGAACAAGATCATAGTTTCAATAGGTTAAGTTCTCACGCACGCCCAGCGGTTCCCCAGGCATCTGTCAGTCTGAGACAATAGACACTCAGTGCGACTTCTTGGTGGGTGCGACTTCAGGTTACTTCCAGATCAACAAAGATCAAAAGAGTTTTGGCAGTGATTCAAGAACTTGACATAGTCGACAGATGGCCAATATATCTATCAAGCTCTAAAGTAAAATCCCTGTGGATAAGAAACATTTCCTGCTCGAGCTCATTAAGATCAATCCATGTTTCCTCAGCCTACAACGACATATGTTTGCATGTATACGTCTCCTTCGGGCAGTCAAGTTGTTTCAACGAGTACATTATTGTATACTTATACCCTCTGAACAAGATCATAGTTGCAACAAGTATATAGCCGAGAGTGGAACCCTGGGGGTACTTGTGACAAAATCCAAAGAAACTGTACAACTTCTCTCCGCCACGGAAACACGGGAAAGTCACTGTCAGGCTTCCTCGTCGAGGATCAGTTGTTATCACGCACAGCGGTCGTTAGCAGGGCGCCTGTCAGTCTCAAACAATGAGTGTCAAATTCCTGCTATTCAAAGACAAATCCTATCATGCTCTTATTGGACTTCGTAACCGCCCTTGGTATTTGATGCTTTAGGCTAATATTACCAGACCTCCTGGCCTATATCGCTATTGCTTTTGGTAAATCCTGGATTTGTGTGTGGTTTACTTGTGTTACGCCGAAGGGCGGTTATACCGGCTTTACCGATACAGAAGCTGGTGTGTTACGCCGAAGGGCGGTTATACCGGCTTTACCGATACAGAAGCTGGTGTGTTACGCCGAAGGGCGGTTATACCGGCTTTACCGATGCAGATACAGTTTCGAGCTACAGGTGTTGCTTAAAAAGAAATTGAGATGTGCAACTCGGTAGAATATTGATGCCAACACTCTCATGGAAGGGGAAGACAAGGACATGTCAAAAATGTAATGTTAACAGTTAGCCAGTTACTCAATGCCTGTCCTTGGTGCTGAATGCCATCCACACATAAATCCAAACATTCCTGTTCCAGAATATACATGTATTTGGCTACAAATAGCCAAATAATCTTGTCCCTGGTCACCATATCTAGATGGTAAACATGGTAAATACCTGTCCTACCATCCAAGCACAGCAAACATTAATGTTACCGACTAAAAAGTATCATCAATATGTTTACTATTAGGTTAGTATTACGGAAATGGATGAAATATCATGAAACCCGCTTTGTTACAGGCACTGTAAGCACCACAGACACCCTACAAAGATGTGCTGCATGAGTTTGGATAAGATAGACTTGCAACTTATCGAGACTACGACTTCTGAGTTATCATGTAACAATTAACGTTACAAATATAATTCATCATTGTTCCACTACACCTTCAGCCACTTATCCAAACATGACAAGCTCAAATCATATTTTGTTGCTATTTGTATCACGACAATTAGTCTGAAAAATGAATGAAGAGCCCTAAACAAAGAATTCCAGAGTCAAGAAGGTATCATACAACAAAATAAAGATGTGCATACATTTTGTACCATGTTTTGTGTAATTTGTGCAACGTTCATATTCATAACAACATAGATTTCAATATAAATGCAATTTTTTCTTTGCTCACGCCCTTCATATTTTTTCTGAAAAAATCCGAGAACCAACAAATTAAATTGGTGTGGCCTAAGGAGCACTGCTGCACCTACAGTAACCTAAAAATGTAGATGCACAGAACAAAGTTTGGGTGCACAATTGAATAAAATGAGGTGGAATGTCAGCAAAACCTTAAATTATGAACTAGCTTTACTGCCTTTTTTAACAGCTTAATTCTTAAATGCTCTAGCTGACTTCAAAATTTTAAACAAGTAATACAACAAAATGCTAATTATTTTTCCTAACCCGTAAACGTTAAGAATATGCTAAGTGTACAATAGTTTTTCACACTAATTTTTCCATTTCTTCTTGTTACTGTTCTTTTGCAGGCTAGTCCTATACAATTCAACAACTTGAGCACATTGAATGTAACAGAAGTGGCAAGCACAACTAAATACACTATAGCTATCATCCAAACTTCTGATGGTACCAACATCATGACCCTAGCATGTCCAGATCGCGAGATATCAAAACCGGAAGTTGCGCTGCAATACCAAGGGAAGCCACTAGGGGGACCAAAATCTCATCATTTCCAGTTTTCGTCACACCCTACCAACACACCAAGTATGAAACCAATCCATCTAGGCGCTCTTGAGTTATCTTGTTGACCAACAGACGGACAGATAAACGCAACTGAAAATATAACCTCCATGACACATTTCATGGAGGTAACTAACCGTTTGTCATATCCCCAGACCAGTGCACATGGAAGCCATGTAGTCCTTCAGTCAGTCCTAATACATGTACTTCCCCATGCACTACAACAGGGCTGGTAGGGGACTGTAGGGGGAGGAAAATACTTGTCAACATGAAATATTCCTGACCATTTATATCACTTATTAGTCCCCACCAGACTAACTCTGTGGGTTCAAAATCAGCAGAATATGGGTTCAAATACAGTAAAAACTTACCCATTATATATAAATAGGAGAGTTCAATTGCCCATGCATACAGTTAAGGACTTTCTAACAGACCGACTCTTCTGGCCAATTTTGTCCCTTTCTTAAAGATTGTTCTAACAAATTGTATATAAGCCAAATTGCTATTTTTACTGTTACAAACTGATGACATTCACCATTTGTTCGAAGTGGATAGTCCCAGTCACCACTCCTATAAGGACAACTACTGCAAACAGAACCATAATGACACTGGTGTTGTATCCAGTCCTCTGCTTGTGTGGCACCTTGTTTTCCTGAGCTTTGTGTCCTTGCTTCATGACCCATGATGACTCTCAAAACATCCTGATGAGCAGGTTGCTTTTTTGGCTGGATGCCAGTATGTCATTTAAGGTCACCAAAAGATCCCATGTTTGCAGAGCTTGTAGTTCACACACAATACTACTATTTAACAGTGCTCTGTTGCATTTGAGACACTCAGAAGTCACAGTAAGGCATGCTACGGTACCTGTATATGGTTTAACCATCTTCCTGTTGCCCAATCCCAGAACCAATACAAAACTGGTGACAAAAGGCTATGTTATAGCTGGCTGATGGTTAAATGCAAACAGTTCACGTTTGAATGCCTTAACCAGTCTTCCATAGACAGTTGAGTTGGACTTTCCAAACAATTTTAAGCATTGTTAAAAGAACAAAATGAAGATGTTGCAAATCGTTCAAAAATGAAGTTCAAATACACAATTAAATTAAAGGCATCCAATGCTATTTCAGGACAGCAAAACTGGACTTCCAAAGTATATTTTCTGGCCATTCTTTTATAATTAATGTTTCGTAAAATGAATCTACCCTATACCATAGCAATTACAAAAAAAAAAAGAATACTTCCGAATGCCCTGAGAGCTTGTAGCCAGTTTATTCTGATATTCACAATACAAACCACACAGACTGTGAGGGGCTGTCAACATTGCTGAAAATAGCTTCTTCTTGCTAGGTCTAAATAGCTCTTTAGCATAAGCAGACTAGCTTCATGGACAGTAACAACAAGGAACAAAAAGAGCAGTCACTGTGTTAGCCTCTATCAACTGCCTACAGGAGAACACAAAATCACCTTACAGTTGCACAATTGTAAACCCTCCAGAATGTACTACTAGTACAGTTGATTGAACTTGATTCTTTGTACCATAGAACTGCCACATGATAAGTCTCACTGGTCGGTCAGTCTATTGAAGAAGACATTCTAATTGAAATTTGAAGAGTAATTGGTCAAAAGCTCAATCTAGAACAAAAGTTTTAACCTTAAACATGTAACTACCAACGCAGATGAATTTTCATTGATAGATCTGAGTGTAGCATTGTTACTGGCACTTGAGTCATAGTGTCTGGTGCAGCAGTCATAGCTTTTGTTTCACTCCGTCGACAGTTGAAGGGCTTCGCAGGCGGGCGAGTCACTGCTTGGTGACTCCGATGACGCCGCACGCTGCACGTCCTCCGGCGTGCCTCGTAGTCAGGCTGTCATCGAATCCGCCTTTCCCTAGGTCATCCTCACCAGTATGCACCTGTAGGGTTTTGACAATTAAAGTACACTTCAGCCATTATTTTACAAATAACAAACAACTTCTCGCTTTGTACTTTTTCTTGCGGATTGTGTCAGTTCAAAATCTCTTGTTCCATACCAAGAATCAGTATATGGAGGAAGGAAAACGGAGTTGTGTGGCGCATTCAGCTCGGAACCAAGAGGTCCCGGGTTCGAATCCTTTAAAGTCATCATCCTTGTGCCCTTGGGAAAGGCACTTTACACCACTTTTCTCACTTGATCCAGGTGAAAATGAGTTAATAATGCCAGAATGATCATTATCATGATCGTGGGCATTAAACTTTATTTAAAGAAAAACCAAACCTTACACAGAAACCCAAGGAAGACACTCCTGCACAGAATTGTTTTTGGGTTGGGCTCTTGTGGAACAGTTTAATTTTCAGTATGTAATTTACCAACTCTAATTTCATGCTACACATGTAGTATATGAAAGATACATGTACATAGCACTTACCACGACTGCACGACCAATGATGGAGTTAGGACCGGTCAGCTGGAGCTGGGAGTCTGTGATTTTGATGTTGGCCTCACCATCTTCTCCCACCTCTACATTACCCAGGTCACCAACATGCCTAGGGAAACAACAACATTGTGTACTGTATTGTTTATTATGCCATACTCGGGCTTCAATAACATTTAATACAGGTGTTACATCCTATGTGATTACTAGCACTGCACCGGCACTCGACAAATTTTACGTGCACCACTAAGAAACTAAGTAGGAAGTATTGATCATTTAAACTGTTAAAAGCTGTTTAGAAACGATTGCCTTTTTTTTTCTTTTTACCAGCTAGCACTAAGGCCACACCAATTTAATTTCTTGGTTAACGGATTCGCCGCTTCATTTTTTTCTAATTCGCAACTAAAAATAAAAATCCAGAATCAACTGCAAAATGCTCATATTTTGCCCTGAACAGTTGAAAACAGTCCTTTTCATCCTAGTTGTTACAGTTATTCCATCTTTCAATGCAATTGGTATCATTCAAAATTCATTGTTTAAATTTTGAACCAGCCTGGTGTGTTGACTTCATGGCTCCTATTTTGGACCATAATAGATAGGATGCCTAGGCCTGTTTTTATTTTTTTTTCGCCCGCCCACTCCATTATTTTTCTAGAAAAATCCGTTAACCAAGAAATTAAATTGGTGTGGCCTAGCCTGGTACTATTTTGAGCCCTGTAATCATTTCTTTATCCCTCAAAAAATTCATAAAACAGGGTTTGAAATACTGAGTGCAAGTGCACGTTATAGTGTGCACCCAAATTTGGAGATGTGCACCCAATTTTTTTCTGTGTTCTTTCGGTGCACCCACATATTTTTGTACTAGTAGGTTTATGTATGTAAAGATTGTAAATGTATAGTAGTATACAGCATATTCTTAACATTCATGTGTCAGAAAAAATAATAAATAATAATAATAAATCCTGGATAGTGAGTAGTGAGTGATTGTTGTAGTACTTTTCTTTAGGTATGAGACATTACTAGTAGTTTTGCTGGTATTCTAGTACTTAATGTATGCACCCCCAAAAATTTTTGTGCACCAAATTTTATAGGTGGGATGTGGTGTTCCCAAAATGAATTTCGAGCCCTGTAAAATAAATGTGCAATCGTACAGTGTAGTGATGAACCCACCTTTCCTCATCCTGAGGACCTCCGTGGTTCTTCTTTGCTGGATTGAAATGACCTCCTGCACTGGTGCACCCTGGAATAAACAAACAAATCAACAAACTAGAGTTCGATGATCTCATACCTCCATGACATGTGTATTGTTTTCATAAATCTTACGCATGGTGATGACCACCTGTAATTGGCTTACATTTTTCACCGCATATATTCAAATCATATGAGGCCATTTGCATATATTGTATCAATTGATCATACTCTCCACCAAATGACAGGGTTATCTTAAGAAATAAGGCTATTCTAGCGTTTCCTCATAAATTATGCAAATGGAGTCCTGATTGACATAAATTATGTTTAGTGATGTTCACCTTCACTGAACTTCCAATTATGGCAAGTATTAAATTCCCAGCAGTTACCATCATAAAATTGTACCAATTTGCCATTTATTATGCAAATTAGGTCTTCCTTTACATAATCGATATCTGCCAATGATCTTGTCGTTCTCACTAACATATGTCTATAGAGTTTTATAGCCCTAATATGAAATACAGCTGATTTATAGAATTTCCTCATTAATTATGCAAATTAGATCCTGATTTGCATAATTATATTTTGATTATGTCAAGCATCACTTAAGCTACCTACATACCAAAAATCATGATGATCCATCAAATGGTTGTTCAGTTATCCTCGCTCGAAGATTTTCAAAGAAACCACCCTGCAGTTCCAGAACAAGCCGCTAGGGGGACCAAACTCACGTGACTTCTTCCCGAGGACAAGAGCTACCTATCATCCAAATTTCATGACCCTAGCATGTCCAGATCGCGAGATATCAAAACCGGAAGTTGCGCTGCAGTACCAAGGGAAGCCACTAGGGGGCCCAAAATCTAATCATTTCCAGTTTTCGTCACACCCTACCAACACACCAAGTATGAAACCAATCCATCCAGGCGTTCTTGAGTTATCTTGTTGACCAACAGACGGACAGACGGACGGACAGATAAACGCAACTGAAAATATAACCTCCATGACACATTTCATGGAGGTAACAATTCAGTGGTCTTGATACACTCTACCGCAATATTCACAAACTATTCTGACTCCCCACCACAGAATGGTATCTTCTACAGGTCAGCAATATCATCATAATACATGATACAAAGCTGGACAAGTCTACTTCAGAATGGGGGGGAAGGCTATATGTTTTTACAGCAGCGTTAAGAATTACAAAAAAAACCTTTTAACAAAAAATAAATGCCCTAAGACAATCATACATTATACAATCAGCAGATGCATTTTTATAACACCATGATGATCTAATATAGAGGAAAATGATTCAAATCATTTGGGGTGTTCCAAAATATCTGAGCCTTCCGATTTCTTAAATGTTTAAGACGACTTTGGGCGGAGGTGGATTGACGAGAAAATGCTGTCAGGAGCTCTTGCACTGATACATACACAAGATCTGGGCTACGGTACTTACAATAATTAATGAACCTCACCCCCGCCCAAGGCGTCTTGATCCTCGACTCCACGTCTTAACACTATTCCTTGGTGCTTCTTGCCTCCAAAACTCAAGATTATAATACATTTAGACGGCTAAGCACCTATCAATGCTACCCTAGGGGGGTGGAGATATTGTAACAACAGTGCAGCCCCTATGGGGTGTAATGAATGTTGGAGGTGACAATACAAAAATGGCCCTTTAGTGAGTAAATCTGGGGTTGACATTGATAGGAGCCCTAGTCCTTGGCTACACAACCCCCCTGTGCATCTATCAAGGTAAAGTCACCACACAAAAATTGGTCCGGGGAAGGGGGATAGCATTTAGAGAAACTCAGAAGTGAGTGTCTTTCTAAGTCAAGTTTCTTGTGATTAAATCTTCAAATTCAAATCTTGAGACAATTTTTCAACTGGGTTTTGTAGTTCCAAACCTAATAACCCTACGATATGGCAACTACAGTTGTACACAACATAAGTGGGGACAAAATTTTAAGTCCCTTTCTTTCCAAATTGCCCTGAACTCTCAAGAGATGGTTGGATGTTTTGGAAGTTTCTGTGGTGGTTTGTTCTGTCCTGATGGGTGCAGTAGGGTGGCCGTGCCAGGAATCATGTACAACAAAACTGACAAGCAAAAATAACTAGAAGCTCATTGCAGACAGTTCTTTCCTCTCTGTCTGTCTGCGTCCGGTTTGGAAATTCCTCCCTTACAAAGCGCCGGACATCCTGGCACGTGTCGGTACCAAAACTGCTACAGCTAATTATCGTTACAATTCTGCCTCAATTTTCTCTCTTCTTTTTATATAATCCTATAATACAAGCAACGAGAACCAAAAACTAAACTTTTGTAGTTAACTAAACTGCTTGCTGCAGTCCTCACACTTTCTAGGGTTTCTCCCCAGTGTGAGTTTGGATGTGAGTCTTCAGATCACCCAGCTGACTGAACTGCTTGCTGCACTCCTCACACTTGTACGGTTTCTCCCCAGTGTGAGTTTGGATGTGAGTCTTCAGATTACTTAGCCGACGGAACTGCTTGCTGCACTCCTCACACTTGTACGGTTTCTCCCCAGTGTGAGTTTGGATGTGAGACTTCAGATTACTCAGCTGACTGAACTGCTTGCCGCACTGCTCACACATGTAGGGTTTCTCCCCAGTGTGAGTTTGGATGTGAGTCTTCAGATTACTCAGCCGACTGAACTGCTTGCTGCACTCCTCACACTTGTACGGTTTCTCCCCAGTGTGAGTTTGGATGTGAGACTTCAGATCACTCAGCCGACTGAACTGCTTGCTGCACTCCTCACACTTGTACGGTTTCTCCCCAGTGTGAGTTTGGATGTGAGACTTCAGATTACCCAGCTGACTGAACTGCTTGCTGCACTCCTCACACTTTTCCATTCTGAATCTGCAAAGAGACAAAACAAAGGATCATTAAAACCCAAATGAAAATTTTGACATTGAGCCCCTACTGTAAGTTGGTGGCATTTTATGTTTACTGAAGGAAAACATTGTTTTTGCTCAGTTTGTTCCTCTTCTTCTTCTCCAATGACCTCTGACCTGCCCAATGTCATAATTTGTTTACATCTGTCAGCATGGTGTCTGGTGTTGGGATACATAAATTATTATTAATGTTGCAATTTCATGGTCTGCTCTGCTCCTGTCACAATATACTAGTAGTACAGTCATGTATGTGAATGTGTTTGAGTAAGAATTAACAGAGCAGACCATGTCTTAAGGTAAACATTACGCATCTGCTTTGTAAAGTTAATGTTAATTCTCTAGTTTTGAATTTAAATGCAAATGATGTAGGAATGATGTAACAGTGAGGGGTTCATAGGCGCTACCAACTGATCCAGCCGGGCGGTCTAGTCCTTTTAGCCGAGTGGTTTGAGCGTCAGGATTTGAAAGATGAACAATAAGAAATACTCCAAAACTGGAAATGCATTTACATTGCAACTTGTATTAGAATATATTATACCAGTTACATCTCCTAAAGTGTTAGTTCATATAAAAGATTCGTAAACCCTTAATGAGCCTAAATTATTCATTCAAGCTATCTCCATGTGACGGAAAGTTCCCGCCATTTTCGGCGGCGCGGAATACTTCAAAATTACAAGCCAAGATTTGTCAAAATTCGACCTCACAACTATGTTAAAGAAACACACCTTCAGAGAAATCACAGGCTAAATTTACATACAACAACAATATTCAAAGAACATGCACTTGAATATGCACAGCATTTGTTTAAGTTCTAAAAATGTTTTTGTCTGAGGCAAGAGCATATTATGCTTTTTCAGGGTTGCCGTTACAAATTGGATGCCACTCAGGCTACTCTGTTGAGTTAAGGCTGTCCAAACCTCCCCTGGCACAGATCTCATTAAGATATTACAATGAGGCACTTGGATATTGTAATGAACCTGTGACAAGCTTGTTGCCTGTAAATATGTAGTAGTTTAGAGGATAATTGAGGCTAGTTCCCCGCCCAATGCACCGCCTTCAGTTTAGCATTTCAATTGCGCGCTAATTTTACCTGGGGAGCTGACATGTGCCCCCCTGTGGCTATTGTGGTGACGTCCATTTTCAACATGGCCGACAGAAGGGCAAGGGTCATGTAAAGGAATTGGACAAAAAGGTGAGGATGCAGCAAATCTGTTTATATTTACTCAGATTGTCATACCTTTAACAGAAAAGAGGTAGCGTAGGGTTTCTTTTGTCATGGAATATTGACACCAAGTGGCAGAGAATTAGTTGTTTGTCACCTTTCAGGGTAAGCTTTCTACACGATTTGTCATGTAAATGTTCTACATACAATACAGTCACAATAGACGCAATGCCATATCACAGTCGCCTTACAGAATCCATACTAACTTTGAAAAAGCCGGATAACAAGCTTCAATTTCGAGTAAATGCCACATTGTGGATGACTAATTGTGAATTAATAAATAAACTACTGTTCAAGGTAGAGCTGTGTACCTAAACAAATTTTAGGTACAGGTACACAGGTTTAGGTACAGGTCCGGACCTGAACCTGTACCTAAAAAATTCGACCAATTTACATGCTCTTCTGAACTCCTTCAATAGCAACAAAAACATGTATACACTTGATAGTTAAGGTTTAATTTTGGTTTATGGAGAATGCTCAGATAAAATATAGGCAAAAGTAAGGTATTATTGTTTTCATGAACACACTGTTCTTACATTGGAACCCATTGGCGACCAGCTATTTCCACATTTAAGGTCACAAATAGGCATAAAATTGGTGTGAAATTGTTTAGGTACAGTACCGGTACGGAGGGATTAGGTATTTTGGACCTGTACCTAATCAATTTTTCCGGTACAGTATCGGTACTGAGTATCGGTACACAGCTCTAGTTCAAGGTAAAATACTCGCATTATACTCTGTAGTACAGTTCAATCTTGTTCATGCTATTAAGGTCTCATTCATGAGTTTTTTCCATACATTAGAAACCATGCATTAATGAGTGACTTACGAGACCGTGTTCCCTATGATCCTACATTAAATCAATTGATATCTTTCATGCACACTTACTCTACGTCTCATAAAAAAATTGCCAACGACTTCTATACACACAAACCCCTTTTATGGGAATTACAAACTGCAACTAGCGGCTGCCCGCAAGAGGCCCTCCCGCGCTGCAAACCTATGACCGCACAACTCACAACACTGGACTGTGCACGTCCGACCTAGCGCGCGGCTGCCGACAATTATGTCCTTAAATTTCATCAGTTACAAACAAGCTTTCACCGCTTTGACGTTTTACATCAGTTGGGATGGCTAAAGGGAAAATTCTCACCAATAAAAACACTCGTTCATACAGCCGTTTAGTTTTTGACTTGGTACTCTTTTAGGGGGTACACTCGGAGTAATACATGAATGAGACCTTAAATAGCTACAGTCACAAAATACATGTAGCAAAAAGCACCTTACACCTAAACAAATTACATATGATACCCTAAGCTGACAGTGTATAAACAAGTATACTATCGTCTCAAAACTATTTCTAATCATATTGTACTCTCAGGTGACAAAACACCATGCACCTTTTGATATCAGCACTGTTACACATCAAATCTTCCATGTACATTCAGAATTGCAGCATAATTATTATCAAATATATACATGTGGCCTTCCTGGAGGCAGCATAGATCACAAATACAATTCTCATTTACAACCAGTCTTATATTCTACAGTGTTCTAGATGGACTTATGATATACTAGTACTAGTTTCTATTATACTACATACTACGGACAGACAGGATTATATAAAAGCTATGAAAAAGAAATGAACCAGTTAATAAGTGTGCCGCATTTCAAGGATAGCTCCTGACCCGGGGGGGTGCGTAGTTGTCTGCCTAATGCCTTGCTTGATCTATGGAAATTCACACCTTTGCACTTTTTACGTGTTTTTGGGAAAATAACATACACGGTGGTGGCAGTTTTAGTTTTTTTTTTTTTTTGATACATCAAATCAAATGTGGTAAATCAAGCTAAAAGTGTCCAATACAATCACCAAGCAGATGTAGAAGCTAGAAAGGCAAACTTCACATTTCTCAAGCTTCAACTTGTAACTTAAATCACCATTTTTTTGGCAGAAAAGCTCAGCCAACAGCCCTGAATGGAATACACATTTTCACAGACACCAGTTACCAGGCAAATGTAGCTTTGAGTGCTTTGAGCTATGTTCTACAAAACAAACATGTCGGTCAATGCATAACAATAAACCCTCCATACTATTATAGTGCAACTGTGGAAATAGGTAAGTACATTTCATTCATTATTGACAGAGTAAAATTTTCTAATCTAGTTTTAATTTTCAGGGCTCTTCACATCAGTTGAAGTACTTAACTGGATCTTTATGTTTTTCCTTTTCCAGTCAACAGTGGACTCTGCAAACACTCCGAGGACAGTATCTGCTATTGGAGTTGACAACAGCCACAGCGTGTGAGACTTCTGTGGAAACACCAGCACCACCCAAACAGACAACCTCATCGTTAGAATCTGGACACACATGTAGAGCATATGTCTCTGTTGGGACTCAAACCATTCCTCATGAAGCACCGGTACCTGTACATATTTTAGATCATCATGACTATACATTTGTTAAGAATGATTCCAACAGTAGAGAATCATATAAGCAGTACATTTCAACATTGGAAGCTAAGCTTCAGAATTGTGCAACTGAGAATAGAAAGCTGAAGAATATTTTTGTTTGTTTGTTTGTTTGTTTCGCATAACCGGTAAACCGCCTTCAGGCGTAACACACCAGTTTTGTACATGTGCGCACATGTACAAGCTGCGTAAGACCGGACTGTAAGTTTTGAACCACTCACACCGGGAAGATCCCCTACTCTTTTCGATAAGTGCGGTGGGTTCTTTAACGTGCGTGGGGTGTGGCTCTCCCAAACACGGGACCTCCATTTAACGTCCTATCCGAGGGACGTCCCTAACCGAAGCTAGGTACTCATTTTCACCTGAGTGAAGTGAGGAAAGTCGTGTAAAGTGCCTTTCCCAAGGGCACAAGATCGGTGACATGGGCAGGGTTCGAACCCACAACCTCTGGGGTGTGAGCCGAACGCGCTACCGACTGCGCCACACGACCCCACAATATTGTACAGGAGTTAACGTATGAAGTGGATGTGTTAAGAAGTTTTTCTATTTCTACCTTAAAGAATGATGACAAGGCTGTCAGATTTTATACTGGCATGCCAAATTTTGTAAGCTTTATGGCACTTTTTGAGTACCTGGAACCCAAAGCTATGAAGCTGCAACACTGGAGAGGGACGCAGGCAATGGTTCGACAAATAAGGCTTATCAAAGACCAGGAAAAGGAAAACCAGGACCAAAGAGGAAATGTACTTTGTTAGATGAGTTTTTCCTGGTCTTAGTTAGATTAAAGGTTGGGTTGTTCACAAAGGACCTTGCATTTAGACTTGGCATATCAGAAAGCACTGTGTCTTGTGTGTTCACCACTTGGATAAACTTCCTGTCTTATGAGATTCCCATGCTGTTTCCAACTCCATCACAAGCTCATGTTAGACATTACATGCCTCCACAGTTCCACAAGTACCCAACAACAAGAATTATATTGGATTGTACTGAGATTTTTGTGCAGGTTCCTTCCTCCATGAAAGCACAGTCAGAGACTTGGTCCAACTACAAGCACCATAATACTTGGAAAGCATTGGTGGGGGTAAGTCCTAATGGGCAGGTGACATTTGTGTCTGAATTATGGGGCAGAAGGGTTTCAGACAAGAAAGTCACCCTAGAGTCTGGTGTATTTGACTTCCTGGAGCCAGGGGACAATGTAATGGCTGACAGAGGGTTTGAAATTCAAGATATTCTCCCACCAGGTGTAAATTTGAACATACCACCATTC